GAGCCCGGAGGATTGAGGCGGGTACGGGGGCCATGATGAGGATCTGAATCCGCTTGGAGAGGGTGTGTGAAAGTGTGGAGAGAATCGAGTGAGGGGAACCGAGCAGATAAATTGGGTGATGGAGCAGCAATGACGTCGTTTGTTTATCTTATCGCGATAAGGTTAAGGTATCGGTCGTGTCTCACTGCAGACGGAGTACGGAGTACACAGGATGAATGGCGCTCGATATAACACAACAAGCCCCAAGGATAGCAGCATAGCACCGGCTGTAGTGCGAGTATAATTGTAGCTACAGATCTACATCATCATCACTTCCTGATCTTTATACATCAAGGTCCCATCCAACGCCGCTTACCGCAACCACAGCTTCCCGCTTTCCAACAATCATCGCTATGCATGGGTCAAGGAATTCAGCATATCTCGGGCCGTTTTGGTCCTCTCGCGCACATCCAAGTCAGGATCATCATCCAGACTGGCCAACCGATCCATCACGCCCATCGTCCGCATGCGGATCGCTCGATCTCGACATCCTTCCCGGTCACTCGAGTCATCCTGGTACACCAGGTTGATCACCACCCACACACAGTTGATCCGTACATCACGTTGGTTGTGGTTGAAGTATGTCATCAGATATTTCAACAGATCCCGGTGCATCTGAAGCAGTTGTCGGTGTCGCGGTAGGCCTGCCGCCAGATGTATGATCACGTACGTCACCGACACCAATATCTCCGTCGGGACGGACATCGTCCGCGAGGTCGGCACATCTCGTCGAGGCGGGAGGGAGATGGAACGCGGCCGCAGCTTGTCGGCCAGCGCATCCAGAAGCAGATCCTGCCCAATCTCCTTGAACAAATGGTCGATCATCTCAAATGCACCAGGCCCGCAGATGACGTTGCGCAGTAGGTCAAAGGTTTGTTCCTGTACCGCAATATCATCCTGTCGAGCCTGCGTTGTCTGGTCCAGGTCGCCTTGCAAAGTCAACTTGCGTCGTCGCGTGGCATCAGGAAGGAACATGTCGAGACTGATTTTGTGCGAGGGCACTGTATCCGCCATTTTCATATCCTCGTCCCCACCGCTCTCCACCGGGTTCAACAGGTCTACCTGCTCTCCAGCCGAGTTGGCTCGGCTCATGCCCGCGCTGGTGCTGCTATCCACCTCTTCGTCCATTCCGCGTTTGGCTAAGGCAGTGGTAGGATCCTGGGTGATGATCTGTTTGATCCATTCCGCACCTAGTCCTTCTATAATCTTTATCTTTACATCATTGGTGGAGTTGTATGCAACATGCTTCAGGGCCCACAGCGATTCTATACGCAGCTTAGTGCTTTGGGAATGAGCATGTTCGCACAGAATGGGAAGAACATCAGCCGAGATGATTGCCTATGCGCCGATACAAGTTAGTAGTACACAAGGGAAGCCAAATGATCAATTGACTAACCTCTTTCATTGGACTGAAGTCCAAGGCCAGGTTACAAATGACCTGCGTCGCTGCAATCTGGACCTCAATGTTGGGGTGTTTGATCAAGACAAACAAGGGCGTCGCGACCCCCGCATCGATCAAACTCGTGCGGAGGACACTCACCGAGCGAGTGAGCATGCGTGCGGCCCCGCAGGCTGCCAGCAGGGTGGGTGTGGGGTTGCCATCGGCCACAGTGTTCTTCGGAGTCGACGCGTCTTCGGACAATTCATCTAAGCACGGCTTGAGAGAATCGATAATGTATGGCACCACCCCGTTCTCACAGACAGCTTTTCGATATTCGTCTTTGAAGGGAACCAGAGCCGCCAAGGCTTTCAGGATGTTCTCACGATATCGCATGACATGGCAGTGGAGCGGTGAAAAGCCCGGAGGTCCGAGCTGGCATTCTGGGGAGGTGGTGTCAGGGCCCAACAGGCCCTCTTCCCCGTCCGCATGCCACATGGGGCGGACGGTATCTTGAACTGGGTTGTAGGTCTCTTTCAACAGCTGCGACAACCTCTTGATAGCGCCTCCCTCATAAGCATGTCGCTGCAGTTCGTGATCATCAATCACTAATAACGCCAGCACGAACGGGGCTTCTTCTCTGAGACGCTCGGATGAAGGAATCGATCCCCCATATTGCACCCCGTCATCGGCGGTCACTTCATAATCTTTGTCCAGCATGCGAATCAAGATAGGGATCATCAAGTAGCATAGCATCGATACGCGATGCTTCTTTGTAAGGCCAAGACGGAACAGAACTGTGGCAAGACGTGCCGCCATCAACCGGACCATCCCGCTCTCGCTACGGACAATGTACAAAAGCCATGGCACGACCGCATTCTCTTCGTCCTCGGCAGAAGGCATTTCGAAACTGGAGAGCGGTGTCGGAAACGAGTGGCTTTGTCGGCGATGTGTAGTACCCTGGTGGCCAAGTGGAGGAAAATTGGAGGTGCTAGGAGAGGCCTTGTTCTGCGCCAGCGGCACCGATGGCAGTAGATACTCCAGCGGGCTAGCACCTGCATGCCGGGGTACAGCCGAGCCCGACAGGTAGGTAGCACCCCATGGTCCTCGCTTGATATCCCACGGAGCAAATTCGGCCAACTGCTTGGGGAACACAGTGACGATGCCCGGCGAAGAGAGAAAATGCTCCGCGCGCCACTTGGAATGCTCCACGATGACGGTAACAGCGCGGAGGATAGGCGCCAATTTTGCGCCTGGGGGTGCTGGGGGCGGTAGGGACCCCAGAGCTCCAGGCTCTTGAACATGCTCCTCGGCACCAGGATAGACAAATCCCTGCGCGACCACGAACGAGGCGACTTTCACCGCCAAGGCATCCAATACTCCGCACTCAGCCAAGACCGCCTTGTGAGATTCCTCCGTACACAGCTTCCCGATGAGGGATGCGGCGAGCTCAATTGCTGCTTGATCGTGGTAGTTGCCGTAGTCCCGACCTAAAATGCGAGCGAAGCAGCCAATATACTCGCTGGAAAAGATGAGATCGGCCAAACGGGTATCTTTGAAAGATCGTTGTTGACTTTGTAGCGGTAATCGGTCGGCAACGTTATTCAATGTTCGAAGTATCGGAAGAATATAGAATGTCGGGCAGTCAGGTTTGGACAGTATGGATAGGAGGGTTGAGAGTATGCCGCTGGCAAGGATAGGGGACAGAAAAGAGGCACCGCCTGTTTCGAAACCAAATCAGTCACTGCCTGCAACACTCTGAGAAAACCAGTACCTTGTGCTAAGCTACCCATGATGACGATCGCTTGTAAGCATGTCTCATCTTCCTCGGACTGAGGACAACGAAGCTTCGCGGCTCCGTTGACTTCTGGTGTAACAATATCCTTGCCATGGCGGGCTGCGAGAATATTGGCTAGTACGGGGATGATCCCCCACCGCACCCAGGCCTCTTTCCGCTGGTTATGGCCTATCGTCTCATTCTTTAAGCTTCGCAAAGCCGCCGCCTGTGCTGATAGGGAGTCCGCTGTCTGAAGTTGAAGCAGCAGCGGAGGCGCTGAAGCGCGGGTCATGGTCCGAAGTCGCCGCCTCCCGCGGGAGGGCCGTGGGATCGATTACGTCGAGGAACAGGAGGAGCGCTGATTGCGCCGAGAAACAATGGGGGAGAGACACAGGTATAGGATTAACCAGACACCTTTCAATTTAATTTGATGTGATCTTCCCCTAGCAATGGAAAGAGTAGTTTTGAGGATCAGCTAGTTGGCAGCGATGATTGAATGGCAATGGAATGGATGGAGGATGAAATGATAACTGGTCAAGGTCACGGCGGCGAAGACCCTCGGCGACTGGGGAGGGGTCCAGAAGAGCGACTCGTGAAGCACCACCAACCAAGCAAAGCAAGGTCCGATAAACAGGTGTTTTGAAGACAGCTGGGAAATGGGACTCACAAGCAACCCAGAAATCGATCTCACAACGACCAGCTCCGAATGATCGAGTGGTTGATGCAGCTGTCGATAGCTCGCTGTCCGTTGCCGGCCGCTGACCGCTTTCGGCGTCTTATCAGGTGATGTCACCTGATAGACATCTGACTGTACAGTCGGGTACATTGATGACTCAGCCTGGTATTAGGCCGCGAGTATGTACTGTACACCTCCGTCATGTGATCCAGCCCTATCGTCGATTATCAGCGTTGAGGAGACCCATACCTCCCTCTCGATTCTGGTGTTGCAATATCATGGTACGAGACACTGAGGCTTGTGTAGCAACGGAGCCAATAGTATACAGCCATTGCTCAACCACGAATTGAGTTTGAGCTCGGTGTTCCCACGAGATCGAGGTCGGTCAACCCGAAAGAACGAGCAAGAAATGTGTAACCCCAAAAGTTGAACCCTGGAGGGTTGGGGTTGGAGACCATCTCGGAGTTGATCTGAGTGTGTGAACCCAGACCGCTCGCTCGTATGGGCAAAAGCAAAGATCCGAAGCGCATGATCATCAATTGACAGCTGACTTGGGCTATAATGGGGAGACCATGGGAAAGAGTGTCTCTTCCTAGTTAACGGGACGAATCTCCCTCCCTCAGTGGACCCGATAATGAAGAAGGATACATCTATAAACCCTGCCAAAGGGCAAAGGGTCGGGTTCCTTGCTTACGCCAGCCCCGAGATCCTTGACTAGACTAACTACTATTCATTATCTCCAATCCCCATCAATCCATTAGCCGCACTGCGCGCTCCGTACGGGGCGGTTGTATCGATGGTGGCTCCTCTGTAATACGCTACGGACGGTGGTGCCGATAAACCCGTATCACTGGTACTTCGGTATTCACTAACTAGTTCTAATTGGTGGCTTGGACCCCCCTGACAAGCCAAAGACTGGAGGGAGATAGGAATTCCTCTCCACATGAAGGCAGTGTGGTATTGGTAATTACCCGTAAGATGCTGTGATAAAGCCGCATGACAACTCAAAAAAAAAAAAGGCGAACTTGGCATCGTACTAGTACGGTACTAGTACGTAGCGTACGGACTACTACGAAGTCGTTCCCCCCCCCTCTTTGTTCGAGTTCCCTGATCAGCGTCATTGTTTTATTTTTCGCTTCTCCTCTTCTGCTTTCCTCCTCCTTTTCTCCTCTTCTCACCTCCACTTTTCTTCTACCCTTATCTTACTCGGTATATTTGTTGTGTACGGCTTCTTCCTCTTTTGCTCCCAAAAGAGTCGAAGGTCTCCTCCCCCTATCTCTTCCCCACAGATCACAATGTGTCTGTGCACGCCGCCCTTGCCTCTCGCCGCAGCACAAGGTTTCGCAGCGTCTGCCAGCTTCGTTGCACGTCGTCTAGTCGTGCGCCCACGTGGTGGTCTCGTTGGGCGGAGATGCTAGTTTCATCGCCTTCACCTTCCGCCGCCTTGCGTCCATCTCCCGCCTCTCCTCATACACACCATCCTCCTCCTCATCCTCCTCATCCTCCTCCATCTGCTCCTCATTCTTCGCATTCCCAACCTTCCATCCCTTTCTCCTCCTCTGCGGTTTCCTCCTCCTCTCCCCGTCCGCGTTCTCGTCGCCCTTCGATCACGACGACCTCCATTCCTTCACATGACCAGTATGAGCCCTCCGGGCCTGTTCCTGCCGCCTCGTCCAGTCATCGTTTCGATCTCCATTCTTCCCGCGCCGCCATCGAAGAGCTGCGCTCGGCTCTAAAGCGGCACACCGTTGGTCATTTCCCTTCGGGGCCCTCAGGGGATCTGCCTCGCGGTCGGATGTCCGCCGGGCTGACCTCCTCTGGGGGCGGAAGTAGCATCACGTCTGACGCCGCCATTCCCGCCTCCCACCATCACAGTCACCCTCACCCTCACCCTCACCCTACTGCTCCTTCGCAAACGTCAGTTCCAGCCGCCGCCGCCGCCGCCTCTTCCGCCCCTGCCCCCGTCTCCCAATCAACCGCTACGCCTCCCATGCCGGCTCCTAGCAGCGTTGGTTCAGGGTCCAATAAGCGTAATAGCCCCAATGGCCCGACCAACGATGGGACGCGGCCCGGTGCGATGGGGCATGCAGACCTGGAGGGCTCTCAGAGTAAACGGTTGCGCCCGGAGAAGCCCTCTGTGAAGCTGCTCCCGGCCCAGTACGAGCTGGCCGATGCTCGAGATATAGTGGTGTTGATCTCCAGCATGCTGATGGAACTGATCCGATTCAACGATAAGATCCCCCTTCATCAAGGTCGGCTGACCCGCTTTCACTCTCGCACACCACCCCGCATCTCCGTTCATGACTACCTGCAACGACTCACGACCCACGCCACGCTCTCGCCCCCGATCCTGCTCAGCATGGTATACTATATCGATCGGCTCTGTGCCATGTATCCCGCCTTCACGGTTTCCAGTCTGACAATCCATCGATTCTTGATTACCAGCGCTACAGTGGCTAGCAAGGGGTTGAGCGACAGTTTCTGGACCAACAAGACTTACGCACGAGTGGGAGGTATCAGCATGACCGAGTTGGCATTGCTAGAGTTGGAATTTCTCTTCCGCGTCGAATGGCGCATTGTTCCCGAGCCGGAAGTGCTCGTGGACTATTACCAGAGCCTGATAGAGCGCTGCGATGGGTATGCAATTCAACGAGATAGTTGATTTGTGCATGTTCCGGGTATTTTTAATGTTCAACCACTTTCCTCTTATATGGCTTGCCTTGGAATTTGAGTCTCGGAGAGCAGCCCGCACAGGGGTGTAACCGCGGACGTTTCATCAGTGTCTGTACTAGTACATACATACACATACATGGGGCTTGGAGTTGATACTGTTTTTATGCATGGATACGACGGCGATCAAGTGATTTATATCCATACGGGTTGTTTTTTTTTTTTTTTTTTTTTTTCTTTCCAAGTTCTTCTTCCTGCGCCTTGCCCTTGTGTTTGTCTGAATCATAATTCTTGTACAGCCCGCACGTCCAGATTTGAGTCCAAATTCTCACACCCTCTCCATGTGTGTCTAGGTAGTCAATCGAACCCCGGATACGGATTTCGAATAGAACCATACTGAAAGTGGTTGGCGCTGCATGACGTCTACGATTCTTCATAGTCTGCACTAAACTGGACTGGTCAGATGTAGGGCTTAGGGTATAGGGCTCAGGGTTCCGGGAGCTTCCATCCATGGAAAACCATCTTTGCGGTTCAGACCTCCATCTCCATGGGAGAGGCTCAGTCTGGCTATACCTGGTTGCTCACCCAAGCGCAAGGCATGAGTCGTCTTTATCCATATAGAATTAAATCCTCACTTCCGGTTTACTCCAGTTCTCTAGGCTAAAACTGCAATTTTCACGACAAGCTTGTACCATCCTGATTGCTCTTACAATGGATGCGGAGACCATCCTGCGGGAGGTTCAACCCCTCGTGGGCGAAGTGGTTCCCATTCGCTCCGTCCAGGAGACTCGCCCAGTTGAAGAATACGGTACGTCTCCCGGTAAAACTGATCTCGCTCATTCGGCTCACGAGTTTGGCCAGCGGACGCCTACGTCGCTGAAGTCAATGTCAAGACCGCGTCGAAAGTCATCAAGTCAGTTTGCCCCTCCTCACCCCTGCTAGCTTCCTTTCTATCTGCAACGGTAACAAGAACCATTAACTTACTGACCATCACAAAAAGAGCCCTCGACTCCGCCTTCCCCCGCGACTCCTCCCATCCACTGAACCACCTCCGCCGCTTCGCCAAGCACAACCAGATCCCCGAGTCCCTCCGCCCCACCCTTCTCAAGGAAGGCTACCTCCCCTCGCAAACCATCTTCGCCCTCATTCCGTCGCCACTCCCAGCTCCCGAGGCCCTCCAGACCCTCCTGGCCCCCTTCGTACCGCCGCCCCGAGAGACCCCCCTCCCCCAACCCCCGACCGCCGATCCCTCTCTGCCATCCACCCCCGCACCACCACCCGCAGCCCCCGAAACCCCCACACCCTCCACCACCGCCCCTGCAACCAGCACCATCACTCTCCACACGATAACCGTCCCAATGCAACCCCCCTTGACCCCCACACAAGCGGAGCACTGGTCCTCAAAGATGTGGCCCGTAGTCTTCAACCCGGCCGCGCCGCGCGCGCTGATCGCCCCACCGCCGCAGATCCTCTCGCGGGTGCGCGACGCCATCGCCCCGAAAGCCGGCCGCTACCTGGCGCTGGCGCAGGCTGTCGCCGCCGAGGCGGAGCGAAGCGGTCTCGGCCGCGGGGTGGGCGCCGTGGTCGTGGACCCGGAACTGGAACCCGTTCCTGAAAACTCGACAGAAGACGCCGAAGAAGGAAGCCGCTGGACCGACGCGATCGTCGCCGTCGCTGGCGACGGCCGGTACTCCCGGCGGGAGGGGGGCCAGCCCGCGCCGGCGGAGATCGCGGGCGGCGGCGGCGGCGGCAGCGGGCCGAGTCCGCATTGCGGGACGTACGATGCCGACTGGGAGGGGGGCCCGGAGCTGCATGCGCTGATGCGGGCGGTGGAGTTGATCTCAAGCAAGCGGCGGGAGGATAAGCCAGGGTCGCGGAGGCAGAAGATCCGACCCGTGCTGTACGGGCTCGAGGAGTACTTTCTCCAGAAGTCGGATGTTCCGCTCCGCGGAGCGGAGACGGTGGCGGGAGGGGCAGATGAGGAGAGTGGGGATGCGGCTGCGCCGCCGCCGGAGAAGTATCAGAAGACCACGGAGACCGAGGCACATGCGATCCACCTCCACCACCACAAGGGGGCGGAGGAACAGGGGGCAGATGCAGGTGGGGGTGCAGGAGGTGCAGGAGGTGTGGGGCCGCGGATCCGCTCCCGCGAGCAGGGCGGCTATCTCTGCAACGACCTGGATGTGTATCTGTCGCATGAGCCGTGCATCTGTTGCTGTATGGGGTTGCTTCTCTCGCGGTTCCGGGCGGTGATCTTCCCGCGCCGCGGCCGGATGGTGTCCGGCGGCCTGGCGTCGGAGCCCGTGGTCAAGCCGGTGCCGGTGGAGGCTGGATCGGACCATCCAGTGGAGGAGGAGGAGGCTGAGGGTGGAACGGAGGAAGCATCGACGAAGAACCGGGAGTACTACGGCCTACATTGGCGCAAGGAGTTGAACTGGCGCGCCCTGGGGTTCGAGTTTGTCGCTGCTGGGGAGTCGGAGGGTGATAGTGCCGAGACTGGTGTCGCTTTTCATGCATAGTGTGTGGGAAAGCCTAGCATAATAATATTTGTATTATATCATCAAGACGTATACTATAGACAGGAACCATGAATGGAACAATACAAGCATCGCGAATCAAGCCTATTGACTCTTAAAGGGTGGTAGCGTGTGATCGATCTATCCCGACATCGATAAGTACGGTACGCCTGTGAAGGGCTATACCAGAGACGAACGAATCTTGCGATGCGGTTGGTTCGATTGAACAGGCTTAGAATGAAGCGCGGCGAGGATCGATCACACCACGCCACACCATTGGCTCTGGTGATGTGCAGAGATAGGTGCGGGAGATCGGGGCGGGACGTGATCTTTGAATCTGACGGTAAAGAATTTGAAGAAGATGGGGAGGGAGATAATGGTTCGCGCAGATATGGGCAATATAGAACGAATCCTTAAGTTCCTGATCGTCGTTGATTGTGGCTGTCGTCGTTCTTGACAAGCTTCTTGACAAGTAGATTGACTTTCGAGTGACGTAGTCGGATTCTCAGCTAGGCGATAGTTCTTATTAAGTGGCTTGCGTGAAGCCAAAGGGCTTTCCCAGAGCGGAAATAAGATAATATGTATGAAGTTGATGTCTTGAAGGACGATCTTGTGGCCAGTCTGGTAGTCAATCTGGTGGCCTGATCTGAATCAACGGATGGCCTCTTGTAGGTTTGCTTAGTGTATCTGAATAACAAAGATCAAGGACTTCGAAGTCTTTTCGATAGAAGCGATAGGTGGATCTTCGTGGAGATTTACTGGCTTGGCAATCTCAGGTATCTTGGTGATTGGAAAAGGCGTCAAATTGGACTGATTGGGAAGGAGGAACATGATAAAGGGCTTATGCCGGAGTTAAAGAGACTCCAGGCTTATGATTTATAACACTTTTAGCAAAGCTCTGGGGTGGCTATTGTAGAACGATTCCTTGAATGCTTAGCTGTTTAGGGATGTTGTTATTCACTGACTTCCTAACCTGTAGGTCTACTCGTAAATTGCTTTGAATCATGTAGCCGGCCTCTCAACTACACCAATAATGTGAATATGAAGAGAGTATTACGGCCCAGCTGGGCTACTCTCTGCTGGGTACATGCAGAACAAAAGAGTATAGTTCTCACATTTGGGTATATGCTCGAGACAGTATCAACATGAGGGCCTGAGGCCCGCATACCGCCTTTCCCGGCTGTCGATTCTGATACAGGCACATTTCTGTAGTAGTACTTTTGAAATCAGATATCTTAGCAACGAATCAATATTCGTACAGATCTATTATCGAACACGTGTATATAAAGGTAACAATCAAACACCAGATCCTCATCAATGACACCATCCGTATCACCAAAGCCGTGAAAATCATTCCCAAATAACGCAGCCCAAGAAGACAAGATGACCACCCCCCGCCAATTAAGTAGTAAACCAAAGCTTGTAGGTATGTACAGAAACTTTCTCAGTATAGATACAAGTGAATTAGAGACGAAGTAAAAAGAACCGTGGTATCATGTCGCACAGTCGTGGTGAACAGAGTGGTATCATAAGTGGCAGGAACAGAAGCGAAAATCAAAACAGACAGGCCAACTCCGATAATAGGTGGAAGGGCAATGTGTAAAAGAGGAAAAACAAATCATTCTTCCATCAGAGCGTCGTCGCCGGTCTCCCGCCATTCTTTGGAACGATCAGTCAAGCGGCGGACTCCAGCCACGCGCTGTGCCCAGTGAGCTTCAGCAGGGGAGCGGAAGGTGTAACCACGCTGCGAGGAGATCACGCCAATTCCCTGCAGAACAGCCTTCCGGGAGTCGCGCGAGAAAACAGCTGGGTGGTTGATCCACTCCAGAGCAGCCTTCAGGTCAGCGTCCAAGGCGGTCATGGTCTGCGCGTCAACCCCAGCTCCTGGCGTGATAGTTGCCGTGTCTGACGATCCGGAGTGGCCATCGTATGAGGACGATGTGGGGGTTCCACCTCGGCTACCAGAGTCACTAGTGCCAGAGGGCTTCGCCCCAGGAGGAAGAGGAGGCAGGCTACCCTTACCAAGACCCTTCAGGATACTGCGAGTCTCAGTCAAAAGATGTTGTGCGCGATCATGCTGCCCACGCGACACGAGAATTAGTGCTCTCGTTAGCATGTCGGACGTCAATAGCTCCATGCGACGCTGAACAATGGACGGAAGAGGTGGAATAGGGGGGCTAGAGGGACGGCCAGGCTTGGCTTTCGGGTTCGGAGGAAGCATGGTAATGGCCAGCAGCGAAGGTCGGGGAGAATGTGTGAGATGGCCGTCTCTCAAGAGGTCACCATAAGTCAGATCTGCCTGGATCAATGGGACTTCCTCCACACTAGATACACGGTGGTCATCAGTGTCCGATACACCTCCAAGTGCCTCGAGTCCTGAGACTAGACTCTCCCAGGCGTCTTGAGGCAGGTTGTCCTGACTCGAATTATCCGGAGGAATAACGAGTTGAACGAGAATGTCGCGCTTATCTCCAAAGCGGAGATCTCCAAGAGCAGCCTCCGCATCACGTCCCGTGGCGCGTTTCGTGGTGTGAAGAGCGCCGCTGATCTTGACGAACTTGGCCGGAGACCCTTCGGGTAAACGAAGCTTGAGCTTGACATTTTGGTGCGAAGTGGTTTGTAGTGAACCCAAGCAGCCAGCCACGCACTCACGAAGCATCATCCAGTCCTTGACATAGAGGTATGAGCCTTTGGTGCGAGTTGACAGTTCGATCATCGTGTCCGGTTTGTGGGTCAAGCCGAGACCGAAGGAGTGAATGCTAATCCTGCATATGGTCAGTATGAAAGCACTTCTCAAGGTGGTATGATGGATACGAACTTGGCAGCCTCCGCGCGGGAAACAACGAAATCGACACTCTCCGGATCGGACGTGGAGGAATCGCTGATCAGAAGGATAGAGGAGACAGGGTTGGCCGACTTGCGCTGCATAAGCAAGTCCATGGCCACATTAGCACCTTCAACGACATCGGCACGAAGACTCTTCTGGCCCACCGGGCGGATAGAGTCAAGAATCTTGCTCCAACCACCCCAGTTTTTGGTAGTCATGCCGACGAGAGGCACCCCTCCACCACTCGAGCCAAAGGTTACCAACCCCATACGATCGCGGGGGCCTAGGTTCTGTACAAGGAACTTGAGAGCATCGCGAAGCAGCGTAATCTTCAGTCCTTGCATGGACGAAGAGACCGGTATCACGACCACAAGGTCAAGAGGGATGTGAAACGAGGATTGATATGGGCTATCCATGCCGGCATTGGTATAATCGGTGATAGCCGTGTTGTTAGAGCGAGCCCCTCCGTGGGACGAATTCAGAGAAGCCTGGCGCTTGATCTGACTGGCTCGGTATTCTTCTTCCTCGGCACCAGAATTGTCCAAGTCAAAGTCGCCGTTTCGGGACATGCCATCCACTGGATGCAAATCTATGAGGGCCCGGCGCCAAATGTCAAGCTGTTTCCGGGTAGGGAAGCGAAGGTAAAAGCAAGGAAGCTCAGCCACAGACAAGTTCAAAGCCAGGACAAGGTCATCTACACCACTGTCAGTATTCAAGGTTATCTGGTCTGGGCAATTCAGCTCACCTGGCGAAACCTCCATGCTCTGAAGGTGCTTCTTGATCAAGATTGAACCCTTCAGTGTCGACCTCGTAGTTTTCACCTTGGCTGGCTCCTCATCTGGGTGACGACGGGGGTTGCTTTTCTTTTCCTTCACACAGATAAGCATCTCACCAAACAGATAGCATTCCAGCTCCTGCCAAGATTGACGATCTTTGCCCACGCTCATCTGACCATGCAATCTAAGCTTGCCAAATCTTCATTCATGTCAGCTCCAGGATTGCATTGGCAACAGGTGAAATAAACCTACCGCTGGAATTCCAGTCCATGCCAATTGTCCACCTTCTTACGCAATTGCTCCGCAAGTTCGTCCAGATTCTCTTGCGGTTCGAAAGGAATCTGTCGAGGCTCTTGAACGGTAGGGAACCGCATGGCGCTCAATATCTCGTCCTGTGGTTGCGGCGTCGCGTTTTCTGTATGACGCAAGTCATCGTCGTCTGGACGCCAGCTACCCTCGGGCACTTCAACGGTAATTAGACAGGTCAGGGCCTGCTGTTGGCGGGAACGATTGAGAGTGGGGAATTCGCTGCGAATGGTCACCGTCGGTGCCGGGATTGGGTTTTTCGTGATAGGTGGACGGGGGCTGAGGTCGGACTCCATGGCTTGCACATCGTAGTCATGCCGTCTGACATTAGCCGAATGTTGCGGATCGTTGTAGTCTGCGGACGACCCGGCGGCACTGCCATTTCGTGAATGCTGTTGACGGGAGCCCTGTGTGAGACGTTCGACACGATCGCGATGGCTGCCAGTGTCTTTGCTATCTCGACGGACATACATGTCCCGACTCTCGCGGTTGGTGTTGGGGCGACTTCCTGCATCACTGGGACGACGTCCGGGAGCTGAATTCGAATCCCATGGCGTAGGGGTCGTATAACCACTTCGTTGCGTAGCGGCGTCGCTGGTCACCGAGCGGACAATGTTGCTTAGTTTTTCTATGCGGAATCGATCAGCACATGCCAATGTGGCACCTAGAACGCACTTTCCACCTACCAAGATCGAGCACATTGCCTCCCCGACTAGTGTCCAAGCCTAGCGGCGCATCACATGTGGGGCAGTACTGGCCCTCGCATTCCCGAATGAACTCATAAAAGCAGGCCTCATGTGATACGTGAGCGCAGGAGAATTGCAGAACTCGCTCTCCGCGCAGGGTATGCTCTAGGGGCTCGTCACACACGGCGCAATCACTGCCCACAAAGGTCCTCTCGCGCCGCGTCCGGCTGCGGTCTACGTCCACGGCCGCCATGGGGTTTCCTGCGCCAACAGATCCAGAGGATGAATTGAGGTTATTGTTCGGATAGCCGGAAGCACTATTCGCGTTGGACGATGCGCGGGGTCGAGTGGGGTCGGAATGGCCAGAGTAACCGCTCCCTGGACGATCTGAACGGTGGGTAAAGGAACGAAAAGGGCGTAATGAACGAGTGTTAGAGTCGGAACCGGAGGTGTCTGCAAGCGGTAGTTTGTT